TGCACTTTTTTTGCACTTTTTTTTGCACTTGTTTTTGCACTTTTTTTGCTCTTTTTTTGCACTTTTTTTGCACTTTTTTCGCACTTTTTTCGCACTTTTTTTGCTTTTTTTTCGAGGAAAGTGCAAAGTTTTGGCATTTCCAGAGCCACAAAAAAAGTGGGAAAAAGTGGGAGAACAAATTCCAGAGCCACAAAAAAAGTGGGGGAAAAGTGGGTGAAAAATTGTTTTTTTCTTGTTTTTTTGTTGTTTGCTTTTTTTCTCTTTTTTTGTTTGCTTTTTTCCTTTTTTGTTTGCTTTTTTTGCACTTTTGTTTCCTTTTTTTCTGCTTTGTTTCTGCGCTTCTTATCCAGACAGTTTTTCTTTCTGCTTTTTGGTTTTGCTCTTTTTTTGCTTTTTTTCTGCACTTTTTTCTTTTTCAATGATTCTTAGAACTTGGCTGTAAGTGGACAACATTTTACAGAACATTTGAGAACCATGGGAAACATGTCCCACGGGTTTTGTCCAAGTTTGCTGCGACTGAACCATTTGGCTGAGTGTGCTTTGCGGTTCCGTCGTCGTGCATGCACTTGACTTGCAAGACGGTTTTCATGCTGAGAGCTTGCGAGGAATGCTTTCTTTTCCGTGTGTCAAACTTTCACGACGTGAGAGAACCAAAATTCCTTCACAACATGCATCAAACAACACGTTAAACAAAAACGGAACAAGGTTTCCTCACCATCCTTGCCACACTAAACGACCAGAGATGGCTCCAGAACACTGACCTGTGAACATGCGCAAACATAGGCTCCAAGGCTGCAATGAGACTGCTAAAAAAGCAGCTGATTGATCTGCAAGCTTGATTGTTTTCGATCAAGAACATCATGCGCGCCAAACGCTTTCTTGCCGGCGATTCTCAAATCTTCTCGTTTTCCAAACATTTTGCTCCTCCAAGGGGGAAAAAGTGATTGAAGTTCACACCCTTGCAATCGCTGGTGCATGAACCAACAGTGTTGGTGGTGGTCAAATTCTCACATTCAACGGTGAAAATGGACTTGAATTGCGACTGTAAGCTTCTTCAGAACAGAATCTAAATCTGCTCAAAGAGCTTTTCACCCTTGACAGAAACCAGCGCAAATCTTTGGGACGTTTTTCTGTCAAGCTGTCTGAGCTTGTTTTTGTTCACTGTTCATTCTTTTCGCCACACTCTTTCACACCCTCTCCCCCTCTCTCCAAGCGCAAACGCTCTTGGGCCGTCCGTCGTCCAGTTGTGGTTGTAGTTGGTAGGTTGTTGTTGTTGTTGTTGTGGTTGTGATGGTTGTTGTCCTTGTCGTTGTCGTTGTGCTTTGTGCTTGTTCTTGTTTTTGTTCTTGTTCTTGCGCTTGTTCGTTGTTGTTGTTGTGGTTGGTGGTTGTTGGTTGTTGGTTGTTGGTGGTTGTTTGTTGTTGTTGTTGTTGTTGTTATTGTTGGTTGTTGGTTGTTGGTTGTTGGTTGTTGGTTGTTGGTTGTTGGTTGTTGGTTGTTGGTTCTTGGTTGTTGGTTGTTGGTTGTTGGTTGTTGGTTGTTGGTTGTTGGTTGGTGAATGGTGGTTGGTGGTTGTTGTTGTTGTTGTTGTTGTTGTTGATTGTTGTTGTTTTTGTTTGTTTGTTTGTTTGTTTGTTTTGTTGGTTGGTTGGTTGGTTGTTTGTTTGGTTGGTTGTTTGTTTGTTTGTTTGTTTGGTTGGTTGTTTGGTTGTTTGTTTGTTGTTTGTTTGTTTGTTTGTTTTTTGTTTTTGTTTGTTTTTGTTTGTTCCTGTTTGTTTTTTTTGTTTGTTTTTGTTTGTTTGTTTGCTTGTTTGTTTGTTTGTTTGTTTGTTTGTTTCTTCTTGTTTAAAGACGTTGATCCAGGATACCGGAGAGCAGGAACCGCGATCGACGTCGCTGCTTAGAACGCCTTTTGGTTCCCGCCCTTCCACCTTCCGGTTTTCCTACGTTTCATGTCTCCTTATTCCGGAGTCAAACTTATTCCTCTCATTGTGGAGGAACCGTTGAAGTCAATCTCGCCCAAAAGGATTATTTACATCTTGCAGGCATCTCTCGCGAGGCTGTGGTCGGAAAAATTGTCCGCTCTTGATTGGGAGCTCGATTTTTCAGAAAATATGTGGTGTCACCAAGCCTCAAAAACCTGGCACATGATTTTTTCCGTCGGCCGGCGTGGTGGACACCAAGAATCAAACTACAATGTGGGTCGACGCCAAGCAACTGAGCTCAAGAGAGTTTGAACAGGAATTGTGGAATATGCCAAGCAAGACCTGCACACTCGAGAGCGCTTGAGGGTTTTGCAGGAACAGACGAATGATCTTATATTTAACAGTTAAATCAAAGTGATGCGCATGCAATGAGGTTATGATATCAAATGCACAAGTTGCAAAGCGCCAGCTGGTATGGTTCATTTTCGCAATTTTTGCAGCCGTTGGAAAGGCGCAAACCAATTGAACGAAGGAGGAGTGTCAGGAACTTCACGGACGTCGTGAAACATGTCACAGAGGCAAGAGTGTGCATATGTGTCACGACCATACACTGGCATTTAGGCCTAATTTCCCCCAGTGGACAATAACACGCCCGCACATTTCGCATCTTTTTTTTCGGTTTTTGGGTGGCCTTGGGGATTGCGGCAACGTTATCTTTTTGGCAGCTAATCATCAACATGGACGACAACAAACTGAAATTTTTTTCATTGATGCGGACCTTGTTGTGAAGTCAATCGCATGGAGTGAACTGGGTAAGATATCACAAAGAGTTTTAAATTCGACCAAACAGCCTGCAGCCAGTATCCAGAGCAAAACATATTCGTTTGGGTTGCTACTTATATGATTTTTTACATTTTCGTATTCAACATCCAACATAATTCTCTGGTGGTGTGCATTGCTGAGAGTAGGTGTGGGCTCATGCTGTGGATGCACATTTGTAGATATTTTAACAATGAAATGCAGCCGTTTCTGCAAGTAGATGGACAGTTGCTCCATTGTTAATGAGAGGCCTGCTTTGACAAGCGGTCTCAAGCTTACTATGCACGAAAACACAACTGCAACAAACAAAGCACACAAATCCTGATTGTGAATAAGGCCGATGGAGGCGGAAACGCCAGGAGGAGCAGATGCTCCAAAGCCAAAGGACACAAAGGACAAGTCCGTGGATGAACAAATTCAGGACGTTAGTCCGGTGCATTCTAGAGACTTCACACTTTGTCAAAATAAACACTTGGTGCTGCAAGGATGCACTTGAAGCAATGCTGTCCAAGAAAAGTTTGGTCAAAGACCAGTTCTTGGCAAGCAAGATGAATCCACAGATGTGCGCAGGGATGTTTTTCCTAGAGTTTGAGGGAGTTTGATGTGCTTCGTAGGTACATTCCTATTTCTGTTCTGCTGCAGCATGACCGCTTGCAAAGCTTGCGAGCTACGCAGATGCAGGCTAGGGATGTGTGAGCTTGAGGTGTGTAAGGAACAATTGCGTGCAGCTGGCATTCATTTTCACTTTGCTTCCATTTTTTTTCAGCTAGGTGGCAGCTGCAGCTGCAAAGTCGAAACGATTGGGAGTGGATGACCAAAGAACCATGGTGTGCTGCCTAGAGCTTTGCACAATCTCTATACAAACGCTTTTCTGCTGCTATGGGTATCCAATTTGTGTTTGCTCAGGTTCGCCCAGTATTCAAGTCCAAAAGGCACATTGTAATTCTTCGAGATTTGCCTGATGGTACGACAGAGGACTGTGCAGGTTGCCTCTGAGATGTGTTCAGTTCAGAAGAAAGTATCACTCATTATATTCAGAGATTTGAATGAAATCCTTAACGGAGGAAGAGATCCTGAGCCTTTTCTCAACTGGCCCATATGCTGAAAATGTGGTGAGTGTCAAGCCAGAGGCGTGAACTGCATGAGCCAGAGCAACTAAAAGGCTTGAGTTTGTTTGAGAAACTTGGGCAATTTCAATGAATGAATCAATGGTTTGATTCGAGATTCAATGACGAGGTGAACAACACCTGGTTTGTGAAGTTCGTCGATGAAGTTGCCCCAGAAGTTGTCCTGTGGCTGCGGTCGCAGACTTTCAAGGACCTTTCCTCAGATTCGCTTCAACTCTGGAGCGTTTTCAAGACTTTCTTGCTTCTCAAGCGTGGTACATAGTGTACGGTTGAGCTTAGTTGAAGTGGCAAGGGAGAAGACTTGGAGGGGTTTGCGTTCTGGGATGAACCAGGTTCTGTGTGTTTGCCACCCAAGGGCAAGCCGGTGAATGCAGCCATCAAGTCAGAGCACTTCTTGCGCAGCTTTTTTCCTGTAAACCAAAGCATGGGCTTTGTGCCCCCAGGGCCTCTTTGTCTACATTTGATCCAACAAATTCTTTGCATTCATTTTTCTTATTTCTATAATGAACTAGTAACTAGACACTAGACTAGCTGCATTGTCCCCTTTACTGTATTGCATCATATAGCTTTTATATTTATCTTTTTGCTCCTCATTCTACGATGGTTGGAAGCTTGTGCTTCCAACATTTGGACACCGTTTTCTGACTCGTGGTAAAGTGCAGTTGGATATTTCCTTCATTGCGTATGGATGCAGTTTCAAAGTTCACATGCTTGGTGCAATGTTTAGAATTGTCACGAGAAAGGTTGCCTCCAATGGATGAAGGAGATGTGCATCCCATGCATGGCTTTCCTCCAGTCCCTTGGCAAAATGACATTGTGTTGCCCATCTTTTGCATGACAGAGGGGTCGTGGTGTACAATGCCTCAAGAGCGGGTTGTGTACTTTACCTTCATGAGAAGTTGATCACTGATGGCCCAAGGCTCCGTTTCCTGGTGGCAAAGGCGCCGGTTGTCCAGATTTCATGCCACCTCCTGGTATGTTCGCATCCTATCGTCATGACACTTCCTGATTGTTATGACAGCGAAGATACTTCTTGTCTCCTAAATACGGTAAGCAAGTCAAGGGATGCAGTCATTCTTTTGAGGATGCCTCCAATGCAAATGGGGATGCCTTATGAGGCAGAGAGCATTGGGGGGAATGAGTGTTCCCGCACTTGATTGGTGGTTTGCCATGACATTTTAATAGTTTCTCAAGCACATTCATTCCAGAAGTGGGTTGTGTCACCCATTCTTTGCGCCAGATGCCTGTGGAGCCCAACATGCAATTTGGCCTGCAATCTCCAGGCCTCAGCATTTGTTGGTCGTTAAGCTTGGGGAGCAAAGGATTTTCAATGCTTTACTCCTGTCATGCAAAGCCAGCAACCCCCCAAAGGCTTGTTCTAAGGACAAGAAGACCGGAACTTCTTTGGAATTGATGAAGTGTGAAGGTTGGGCAAGGTCAAACAACACCATTGTTCCAGAAAGAATCCCCAGAGCTGTCCTCCAACGGGAGATAGCAGATTTCATTCCGCAACTGACATTTGTATATATATATATATTTTTTTTTTCTTTCGCTCCTTTTCTGTGTTCACGGTTTGGCCTCTTTGGGCTTGAAGCAACTTGGCAGTTGCTGCTGCCCGGGCCATTGTCTCAGCTGTCGGCTTGCTTCAAATCCAGCTTGCTTTGCCAGGGCATGTGCTCGACAGTGCTGGCAGAAAACTTTGCGCCCTGTGCGCCAGAGCTTGTGGGATCTGTGGCCCGTCCATGGACCTTCAGGGTGCCACTCTTCATGCCAGCATTTGGAGGTGGCAAGGGCGACAAGCTTTTCCCTAGAGGAATGCTTGAGGTGCCGGCCACTGCATCTCTGACAAACCACATAGTTGGTGTGGATCCGAAAGTCGTGCTCTCCCAGTCTTGTTGTGCATCGTCAGCCTCTTTTTGCACTGGCTGCATTGGACACTACGGCCTTTGTGCTCCCATTGGTGTCCAGCCGGATTGGTTTGAGGAACTAGCCCTTTTTCAAGGGCTCGTTTGTGCTCACGAGCTTGCTGTCGAACCTGTTTGCCACTTTCTCTGGCTTGGTCAAGGAAATGAGACTTGTCGTCCAGCAAGTACTGAATGCGCTGAATCACCAATGGCGCAATTCGCCGGTACTTCTTGTCCTGCTCTTGCAACACCTTTTCTTGTTCTCTAGGTTGCATGGAGAGCGCCACTTCCAGCGCTGCCTTCTTAGCATCAGCCATGCGGTTTCTCAAAGACCATTCTGTCTTGGGCATGTCCTTGAGCTGATCAGCTGTGATGGCCAGCACCTTGATACGTGCTCTCTGATCCAAGGTGATGAGGTCCTGCATGTCATAGAAGACCTCCTTGTGTTTGTGCTGTGTCCAGGCTTCATGGGCTCGTGTTGAGCTCACATGTACCACCAAAGGCGTTTGCAAATTCACATAATGAGCCACCATGCGGACTCCGTAGAACCATGCACGTTCCCACGACTGCCGGCCTGGCAGCACAGTGATGACAGCTCCTTGGCGATAAAGCTGTCCCCCCAAGCTGAACGTGGTGCACAATTGCCACAACGAAATGACGGACTCGAACATCTTTCGAAGTCGTGGAGATGCCTATATGGTCACCACTTCTTGCCTTTTGAGGGTCAGCTCATCATGTGTGGTCCAGGAGCCCCAGGCCTGGACTGCAGCGCCACCTGTTGAGACCTGAAGGTCAGGAAGTTGAAGAAGTCCTTGTGACCAGAACTCAAGATTCACTCCATGCTCTAACTCAAAGAGGTCCTCTGCTTCCATTTTGGGAAACCTTTTGTTCGTCTCTTTGCACAACCAGAGGACGTGCACTGAAGTGGCCAGTTGGCCGCAGTGCGGGCATTTCAAATGCTGTTCCCCGTCTGCCACCTTGGTAAAAATTGCCCCTTGATGCCAGGTCATGAGGGCAACTGCACTTCTGCTGTTGAGATGCTTGCTTTGTCGTTGCCACGGCAGCCAGTCCAGCGGTTTCTGAACCTCCTGAAGAAAGGACCTTTGGCTGATTGCAAAAAGACGATCTGCTGCTTCAGCTCGCTTGAGTTCATCCTTGATGTTCAGCCATGAAGAGTGCATGTCCAGCTTGAAGTCCTCCTGGCCATTGTAGCCCGGCTTAGTCCAAACTGCAGGGTTGTCCGCAGTCCAGCCTTTCTCTTGTAAGTAACATTGCAATGCAGCAACTGGGCCTTTTGCGACCTGCCAGGGGTATTTGGCCTGTTGCAATCTCGTAGCGTGGACTTGCCAAGCCTTTTCAAGATCTCTCCCCAGATGTTCCGGCCAAGCTCCATAGATTTGTGGAAAAATTTGATCTGATCGATGAAGGCCCCATAGTCTGGATCCTGGTGTCTTTTGTGCATGTCGAAAATGATGTCCAAGTTCCCTGTTCGTTGCAACCCCATCTGGCGTCCCATAGTTGCACGGAGCCGCTTGCGGACCTGTGGTGCTAGGCCCATGCTCTCATGACCCCAGCTTATTCCAGCTACAATGCTGCCCTTGTACAATTTGAGGCGGATGGACCGTAGAGGAATTTTGAGAACCTGCAACTTCTTGGTCTTCCGACTGGCCTTCTTTCGGCGTTGCTTCATTGTTTGAATCCTCCTCAAACGACCCGCGGTGCAGTCTATGCCGAGATCCCTCATCACGTCGCGCACACCTGGGCCCTCCTTAGGAAGTTGCTGTTGAAGGAGGGTCTTGGCCTTTGTATTGCTGACAACAAAGCCGGTCTTCTTGGATGAGATCACCAGATCATCTTCCTCCAGGAGCTTGGTGATGTGGTTGTATGCAGCAATTGCCACCCTCACAGCATTTTGTGGATTGCGATCTACCACATCAAAGGACAGGTCATCAATCCACAGATCGGTGTGCAGTTGTGGGAACTTCTTGTGGAAACTCTTGAGTGCTGGCTGCAAGTAAATCTTTGCTGCTAAGGGTGCTTGGGGATCTCCTGCGAGGATTCCATTCTTGGCCCAGATCTGTTTGGAAGCTTCACCTTCTGCTTCAAGAATGCGCCCTCCTGCGTAAACCTGCATAGCAAGAGCAGCATGGACCGGAGGGTAATTGGAATCCAGCCATCTTTGCGCCAGCTTCTCAAGGTTGATGCGGTCATAGAAGTTTGACATGTCCATCAAGACTGACACCACTGTTTTCTGCATTGCATTGTGATGTTCAGTCATGTAGGCCCTCTTGAGGGCAACTTGTAGGCATTCTGTGCCTGGCGTTGCTCTTTCCCAGAAGTACTCATGTTGGATCTCCAGCTGCCATTGTCGTGTGTAGGGTGAACGAAGACGGCTCCACAATCGATACATGGTGGCCACCAGTGCAATGGGTCGTTCAACGTCGGCATTCTTGCTAATCAGCGCTATGGGTTCCTCATGGCCTGAAACGGAAGGGCCTTGAAAAAGTCAAAGCCAATGCCATCCAAACCTGGAGCTTTCTGGGAGAGCTACTTGATTGTTTTCCATACATGCATGTCCGTCAGAGGCTGAAGATCATTTGCATGCTGTTGAGCTTTTTTCTGCAAGTGTTCCAAAGCTGCGGGTGGATGTGGAGCTTCCTGCTGTTTCCAGATGTCTCCCCATTGTTGTAGTCGGCTGGCCATGCGTTCTGTTCGGGGTTGACCCTGGAAACGCCTTTGATATGGCATCTCGTCCTTCTTGAGTCTGTAGAGCCCGCGGCACCCTTTCTCTGCAGCCTTGCTCATCCATGTGCGGTAGATTTCCGTTTCAACCACAAGGGATTCAGCGCTATGCAGCTCTCTTTGTTCTTTCGCAAACTTGAGTAGCACTTGGATATGTTCTGCGTCATGATTGGTCCACAGCATATTGAACAGCATCCTGAAACCTTCCAAAGTGGCCTTTGCGTCCCCATTCCAGTGTTCCTCCAGATGCCATCCAAGCTTTTGTAAATGATGCAGTTTGCTAAGGTCCCATTGCTGGCGGTGTAGATGCTGCTGCAGGCGAACTTCGATCTGGGCCCAGTACGCCTGTCCTCCCTTCCGCCAAAGCCATGGTTTGCTTTGGTCCACCAATGGTTTGCGAACATAGTCCAGCTGTGTTCCCCGTCCCAGCTTAGGATTCTCCAGGTGTTGAAGAACATACCGCTCAATCTTGCTGTGCAGAAGGCCGGCCTTGTTGGTGAGGGGATTGTTGTCCATGTCCAGCCATTGTACTTCAGGAGCAGCATCAGGGAATTGGGTCCATTCTCGAGTGATGTTTTCAAGCTTGGGCGCCGGATTGAACCTCAGGATTTGTTGCATGGCAATGTGATCTACACTTCTGTTCAGCTTGAAGTGAAGTTGAGCGTGTGGTCGAAAAGGCGCAATCCAATTTGCTTCTATGCTCAACTCCGCTGCAATGTAGTCACTCGCCAGTGCCCAATCCAGCTCACGTCCTGTGCTGCAGGTGTCCTCACCTGTGGCAACTACTTGCACCTTCATGATGGAGCTCATAGTGGTCGTCATGAATTCTTCTGGTGTGACATTGAAGTCTCCAACAATGATGACCGGTTTGTGAATCCCCGAGACAAAGGTCAACAATCCAGACCAAAGGAGTGAATTGGTGGCTCCCTGAATGCCTTCCCCGCACTTAAAGTAGACCACCACCATCACCAAGTCCAGGTTGACAAAACTCCAGTGCACAGCATACCATCCGCATCCATCAATCACCTGTTTTTGCGCAAAATGGAAATGCTGATCCAGAGGGTACAACACAAGGATGCCGCCGTGAGTGCCTCCTTTTGGGCTACTGGCTGCTGGGTGACCAAGAACACCAAGTCCTCTTGTGGCAAACCATTGATGAACTTTCTGGTAGTCCTCATCCGCCAAGTGCGTTTCTGCTACAAAAATGGGCGTCCTCGGTCGACGCAACAACCACTGACGAACTTCTGGGCCAAGGCTTGTCACATTGGCAAATGTGAAAGGAATGACCGCCTGACATTGTCTTTTTGCTGGTCTCTCTTCTTGATTGTCAATTGCTTGAGTCAGGAAATCACATGGGACATCGTTCGGTAGCAACCTTGACGAAGGGATCGCCCAGACCTGAACAATCTGCATTTTTAAACCATCAGGTAATCTAGGGACTGGTCGTGGAAATGAGCCATCGTCAACTATCCAGTATAGGCCCCTGTAGACGTACACCGCAAAGTAACGGCCACTCTTGTGTGCATCCCCAGAGTGACACAGATTTCCAATTAAGGAATACTGTTCCGTGCCAGTGGTGTTGCCATCCTTGGTGATGGGCAGGTTGAAGATGCTGGGAACCTGTAGGATTTGATGATGCTTCCTTTGTCCATTCTGTAGCGGCCTATCTAGGCCACCCATAAGCCTTCACCCTCAAAGACTTGTCCTTCTGCTTGATTTGCCCAAACATTCAACAATTGCTCAAACTCTTGTGGTTCAGGAGTTTCCGGACAGACCAAATGAATGGGGAATGCCGCTCTCCTGTGAACTTGTTGTCGATGCGCTCCCAAAGAGGCTTCAAAGTCTGTAGATGAGTGATCTGTACCACCTCATCACCAGTCATTGTGGTCATGACAGCATCTGTAGTTTTGCGCCACAGTGCTGGTCCTCCTAGAAAACTGCCCGCCCAAGTCCACAGGCGGTATGGTGAATTTGCATAGCACCGATTGCGCGGGTTGCCCAACCGGTACTGGAGATTCTGCACCACATAGTCCAAAGGAGCCTGAGCCACGAAATTGCGGCTCCTATCTCACCTGACCCTGGCTTGAGGAGACAAATGGCTTGAGCCATTTGTATATATATATATATGAATAGATAGATATATATATATATACATACAGTTGCCGACCAGAGCTGCGGTTTTGAACCGCGGAACATGCTCTTTCAGTGGCAGGCTTTTGGAAGCCTTGGGGCAGTCGCCACAGACAACCACCGCTGACTTTTTCGCCTGACTGCCCTCGAATTGGTAATGATCAGGCAAAGGCACTCCTGTTGGTGGACACTTACTTTGCAGAGCTTCCTTGTCAGAGGTAGCTCCTCAAATGGAATCCTGGGGAACAGGTGCTCCCAGCAAGCAACGACCTCAATTTGCCGGTCGTTTGATTGCATGTTTGATGATGCAAGTTTGATTCAGGGTCAGACAAGCGAGGACCTTCAGACCTTTGGTTGGTAGACAAAGTCTACATGCTCAGGGGAAAGAGCAAAGGAAAGGAAGATTTTAGCGGGCAGCTGAGTGTAACCGGGGATTAGACAACAGTTTCTTTTCTTAGCCTGGCTTGTTTGGCTTGGACCACATATATACACTGTATCCTTCCCCGTTTGTCCATTCTGTTTAAGTTTAGTACAGGTCATATTGGCCAGACAGACACACGCACACATCTACATGTAACTGTATATATATATATATGATGTATGCGTGCATGCTTGCAATGCAATGCAATGCAATGCAATGCAATGCAAGGCAAGGCAAGGCAAGGCAATGCAATGGTATGTATGTATGTATGTATGTATGTATGTATGTATGTATGTATGTATGTAATGTATGTTATGTATGTAATGTATGTAATGTATGTAATGCATGTAATGCATGTAATGCATGTAATGTATGTAATGCATGTAATGTACGTAACGTATGTTATGTATGTTATGTATCTTATGCGTGGCATGTGTGTAATGTATGTATGTATGTATGTATGTAATGTAATGTAATGTAATGTAATGTAAGTAAGTATGTATGTATGTATGTATGTATGTTTTGTTTGTATGTATGTTATGTATGTTGTGTATGTTGTGTATGTTATGTATGTAATGTATGTAACGCATGTAATGTATGTTTGTAAGTAATGTAATGTATGTATGGTATGGTATGGTATGGTATGGTATGGTATGGTATGGTATGGTATGTATGTATGCATGTATGTATGTATGGTATGTATGTTATGTATGGTATGTATGTATGTCTGTCTGTATGTATGTATGTATGTATGTATGTGTGTATGTATGTATAGATGTATATAAACATACACGTGGTATGCCACGAAGGCCACGAAGGTACCACCTATGCCTCAGGAGAGTTGTGCTTGTGATGGCGAACCATGTTGAAGCCTAAACTCTATGACTATACATGCCGGAGACGATGAAGATGCAGGTACAGCAGATTGATTAGCCCTGTTCTCACTCTTTTTTTCCTTTGTTTTCCTTTATCGAGACACTGCATGCATTTGAACACTGCTGAAACTGACCATAGACGCAGCTGAAAGGCTACAGAGTCCAACAGCTGTTGGGGTATCTATACAACGCGAGCTCACAGTCTGTGCAGTGTTTTGCTGGTGGCTGGCAGAGCTGTGTGCAACGCCCGGTTCACAAGCACCCCATCCGATTCAAAAACATAGGAGTGATTCGCCTTATTCTGAGCAAGTGTTGGATTTGTCCTTCCTACATTGGGAAATTAGGCATGGAGTTCGTGCATGATGAAGGGGCTGGGTCAATCACAGATGCTTCTCGGGGACTTTAGATGGAAGAAAAGGGCGCGAAACTCTTGTTGTCAAGATTTGGAAACGACTATATACATAATTGCCATGTTTCCAAGCATGTTTTTCCAAGGAGGCTAACCTTCATCTTCTTCTCTCACTTCAACATTGCGCTTCTGATGTCCAGATTGTCACCCTACACTCTACACATTCCTGACATTTTCATGCCATGTTCGTTCCACCCTTTTTGTCCGCATGCTCACTTCCATCACATGTTCCTATCCTTTGTTGCGTGATTTAAAGTCAAGTGCATAAGCACTAAACTTGCCATGAACTTCAATTCAGGACACAAAATTAGCATTATCAGGGTTGCAGTCTTCAAGTTCGGCCCACAGAACCATTTCACTTGTACCTTTGGAATTTTTGCAGCACTCATCAGAGCTCATTCTCGCAGAGATGTTGGGTACACAGCACATATTTTGTTAACGTTGTCCGTGCTCTAGTGCTGTGACATGGCTAAATCTTACTTGTCTTGTCAGGCAAAGGGAAGTCGAAGAAAGGGAAAGGAACGTCTGGGAAGTGGAGCATCGACTGGGAGGACCAATCATGCAAATGCCGGGGCATTAGTGCACAAGCATTGCTTAAGTGCTTAAGGTTTCTTCAATGCCACTTGCAAGAAACATGTGAAACAGTTGCTGAGGCTACTTCAGTTCACTGCAGTTTATCTGTGTTAAAGTGTGACACTTTGAGATCAAAGTGAATCACCACATGTGCCTCCATGTGTAAACATGTTGAGAAGACTTTCAACTGCAGGCCGCATTGAAGGCTCAAAAGAGTGCGAGCCCTTTAGATAGTAGCGGAGCTGAGAAGGGGATTTCTTTAGATTTCCTGGAGCTCCAGAGGGCCAGTGCCTGAGCCCAATCTCACGAGAGCCATAGGCTTTGAGGAGAACAAGTTGGAGAAGCAGAGCTTTGCAATCCTTGCCTGAGGTTACGTCGAGGAGATCTTCCGTGGTGGTTTTGGAGTTCAAGTGGTGCAAGAGCTCCACGGGTTTGCGCAGGTTTGCAGTGCAGCTCTTGCCAAGCTTGGTGGGAAGAGCGATGGACCAGGAGGAGCTGACCCCAACATGTTGCTGAAGCCAGATGTCTAGAGCCCCACGTCAATGGATGAGGAGCAGGCATCATGGGCTGAGTGGTCTTCCCTCTTTAAGAGCTACATGGCTACATGTCTTTCATCGAGGAGAGCTACACCAATGACCTGGGGTATGTGGAGAAGGATTTGGAGCAAGAGATATGAAGAGAGCCCGGAAGCTTTACTCCTACCTGGTGAGCTTTGTGAAGAGCGGACCACTTTGGATCATCTGGAGTGTCATGAACAACCACGCTTCAAGGCCTGGGACGGACAGTTCCAGCCAAAGACAAGACAAAGAGAACCAAGCGCTGGCTGCCTTCCCTCAGTTTGAGAAAGGCAAGATCCTCTAGAGGGCTTCGTGAAGTGCGAGAAGCTGGTCGGTGAGTACGAGCGGCTGGCAGTTGGACGAGAACCTGAAGATAGCAAGGCGTAAGTGGTGAGGAAACCCATGGTGGCCTACCAGCCGCCAAGCAGCTGTCCATGGAACCTGAACCAGAAGATGGCGCAAGAGTGTCGCCAAGAGGTGACAGATTTCCTCTTGGGAGCCGCGACTGGATGGCGAGAGTGAGAAGAAGGTAAGGTCCAGCTGTCCAGCGGTGTTTAACCCCTTCATAGTCTCACTGCAAATAGAGGCTTCAGTGGTGTTGAGCAGAGAATTTCCAATTGCAGTGTTGGAACCCAGTGAAAGTTAGGAATATGATTTGTTCTTGACAAGGCTCAACGAAAGGGCTTTTGGGGTGGGTGGCCCTCTGCTTATGCAATTTGTTCTTGTCGCTTATTCTTGCAGCGTTCTTTTTTCAGTGTTCAAAATGGAGCCGGTGTTCTTGGAAACGCATTCGGATGGCAAAGGGTTTGGAAAGGCCTATAGGGAAGACAGAAAGGTATTCCCATGCGCCTTCTTCCTTTGTGTTCCTGTGGTGTCAGAAGTGGACGGCGCTGTGTGGGCAACCAACGTGCGGCTGCTTGGTGGCAACGAGGCTCAGAGGCAAAGGGATGCCTGGGCCACTTTTGGAGAAGCCAACCGAAAGGTGAAGAAATCAAAGGCATCTTTGGCAGGTAGCGCAGCAGAAAAGCCCGATGCTGATACATTTGTAGCGTGGAGTTTTCCGAAGCTTATTTCTTTGAGCCACCTGCTGCATGTAGCAAAGGACACTTTCAAAGGACAACAACTGCAGCCAATCCAAAATTTCCTGGCAATTTGGCATCCCATGTGGCAGGGAAAGCTTGTGTCAGGAAGTTGGGGCAGGTTGCTCCTGAGGAGTCCGTGTTTCCCACAAGCTGCGTTGCCACAAATCTGGTTTTTAAATCAAAAGCACCTGCTCAGTCTTTGTGTGATTTGTGAATTGTGACACCGTGCAATTATTGCGCGCGGCTGCGATTGAAGCCTGGAGACGCGCCCTTGGTGCCTAAGCAGACTTCAAAGCCCAAAAATGAAAGCCGTCAAGATTATTACAACAGAGGGGTAAATTGGGGCGATCCTTGTCAAAGCGAAGTGCAAGGCAGGAAATCCGGTTGTCATTTCTCCTTCCCAATGCATACCATTGTAACGAAGTACTTTCATTGTGCTGTAGGGTCATGGATGACTCAGCCAATCCATCAGCAGAATTTCCCCCAGTGTCAGATTATGGGACCATGAGGCACATCCTTATCAAGCTGGACTTATGTTCGATGTTGAGCAGGAGATGTTTTCTTTGGCAGTGAGACATATGGTTACCAGATACCTGTCCAGCGATGCAAGCCCGCAAGCGAAGTGCAATTTCTTTTGCGCGCTTGAGGAAGTGTTGACACAAGCCTTGCTGTTCCAGCCAGTGGAAGTGTTCAATGCTTTCCAGCATTCTCCCTGCGTTGACCCTGGAAAGGGGCGAAGCGTCAATGCCTCACAACGCCCGGCCTTTGGTGCGCGCAGTGCGCGCAGCGTGTCTTGAGTATGGCTCGGATTGCCTTACTTGGTGGAGGCACCAGGCCTATTCTTTCCTTTCTGATCAGGGCACTGAACGTCGTCTATCTCCATACCCTGTCACTTAGAAGGAAATTTAGGGGAGTTTTGCGCAAATTTCTCCAGGCAAGCACGCGCTCGAAGCAGCGAGGACTTTCAACGCCAGGCTTATTGCACATCATCTTTAGCGGATTGGAAGAAGTTGCGACCCAATTGAGTTGAGAACCTTCCACCCAATCGCTTGTTTTAGAAAAGCTCTATGCTCCCATGAGAGGAGAGAGCAGCTGTGCATCAATTCTCTGCAAGACTTTTGAGTTGGAGATGGGAGAGCTTGCAAACTGTTTGTGGACAGTGGCTGCGCGTTTATCCTTCTCTGTGATCCAGATGGTCCCAGACATTTTTCAGACGCCAGTACCAAACTGGTTGAGAGTGTTGGGGCTGCTTTGGCTAGCGACTGGCATTTTTGGTTCCTGCTGTGGCTGTGGCGGACTATGCGTGGACTGTAGGAAAAGAAGCATCTTGGTTAGAGGGATGTTTTTGCCATTCAGGTCTTTTTGCAGCCCAGCCGAACAGATGGCAACGTTGCAGGCGAATGAGGCAGGCAGGAATTGAAGGTGAAGGGTGTACGTGGCAAGGCCGCCGTCTTCCCGCGCTTGCTTTAGGACATGTCAACACCATTTGTCAACGCGTCAGGGAAGCTGGTTCAGTTGGTTTCACCAGTGCTTTGCTAGCAGCAAATCCAGAGCATGGCCGTCGCGTTGCTCAAATTGATGCGTCCTGCAAGCATGGGCTTTGCGGGTTGATGCAGCAGAAACCTCTATTGTGGCTATCCTTGGCAGGAAGCCTGTGTGCGCAAAGGGATTGAACAGTACCAAAATCTGGGTGCTCCAGAGTGCGATGGCATTTCTGGCAGCCTGATGGAAAACCCGGCAATTTTCCCCAGCTGCAGGCATTTGCGTTGCAAAACAACAAGCCTGTGCATCTTTACCCAGAAGCATTCCTGGTCATTCGCGCCAGAGCTTTTGCGTTGCTCACAGAGAGGATTTGATTTCGACACGCGTGACCTGGTTGAGTGAGCTTTGGTATACCATAAAAATTTCCAATCCCCACTGGAACATGTCATGCCTGCTGCCGATGTATTGCCCTTAACATTTGCAGAGCGTTGCAGAAGGGTTGATGCTTGCGACTGAAAGGATTTGCCGACATGCAGCAGCGGGAAAGAAACGCAAGTCATCAGCAAGGCGGAGGATGCCAAGCAAGGATGCCGGAGCCTGCCTGGAGAAGTCTTTGCGTTAATGAGAGCGTCAATTTAGTTTTCAGATGCAATTTTTCGGAAGATTGCACTATCGTCAGAGAGGGCATTGAGGCCTGCTAGAATTAGAGAGCTCAATTCCTGTAGACCATAGCACAGAGCAAGAACAAAGTACCAAACATTTGCAAGTTGCTGAGCTTTGTGTTGCCGTGCCAGCGAGAAGACATTTGCAAACTTTTTGCGTTTATGGAGTGTTGTCTTGGATCATTCACTTACGGGATTGTGCTGGTGGAAAAAAATTTGCTAGTAGACATTTGGGCCTAGTAGTGATTTGCAAAGCGTGCTCCACTTCAAGAAGCAAGCATGCCGCCGAAGGATGCGCAGACCAAACAAGAGAGGCATCAGCTGGGCCTCCTGCGGAGCAAGGCTTGGTTTGCCTCAAAATGTTTGGAGCCAACCTTGCTCAAGGAGAGCATGCCAAACGGCAGGAACTGCCTGCGTCGCAATTGCTTGGAGCTGACAAGTGGTTGGTGAGAATTTGTCAGAAACCTAAGGCCAATGCTCAGGAGAGTGCAGAAGCAAAGGATCGACGAGAGAAGGGTGAAGCCTTGCGGGCCAATCTGAAGAAGATGACCCCGGCAGAGAAAGTCAAGTGGTATTGCAAGCAGAAGGAAGAGCGCCGATAGCAAGCAAAGGGAACCAAGAGGACTTTTAGCGCTGGAGCTGGTAATGTGCAGGAGCAGAATGAACGTGAGCTGGCTTCTACGGAGCAAGACCATGTCGAGATTTGTGAAGATTGAGATGACCCTTGGCGATTATGACTCCTTTGAGGCTGCCAAGGTGGGCTTTCAGCAGCAGTGCAACAAGCCCGGTGCACTCACCATCGCCCGAAGAGGTGAAGTGCTTGTAACCAGGTTTGCTGGAGTTCAGATCGACCAGTCTGAGAAGCGCCGGGTGATCTCAGGGATCAACGACCAAGAAGATCTGGAAAACTTCAAGCAAGAGTCCAAAGACAGAATGGAGAAGGGCAAATGGCGATTGGATGCTGACCGACAAGGCTTGCTGGAGAATACAGGCTCAGAGCCAACCCCGTTGTTGAATGTCTCTGCCGACATTGAGAAGGCCAGGCAATTCTACCAGGAGTTGGAGCAGCATTGGATTGAGCAGTTGGAGTCAGAGGGTGTGACAAAGCAAAAGGACGCGTCTGCGCCCAACACCGTAGTCAAGTCTGCAGGACTGAAGGCTATGGGCTGTCAAGCTGTCCAATCCATGCAAGACACTCGTGCCAGCAGGCTTTGCGTTGTGTATGTTAGATACAAAGACCAGGTACAGCAATGTGTTCCCGACGACAACGAAGGGAGCGTACAGGCAGGCAGCAGAAGCAGCAGTGCGATTTTCCTTGGAACTTGGATATTTGAAAGAGGTCATTTTTGTCATGGATTCAGAACCAGCGACTTTGAGCCTTTTGGACATGGTCATTGAAGCGCGGAGGAACATGGGCTATCCATCCTCGAAGAGATTGGGAAAGCCCGACCACAAAGGAAGGACGGCCAGAGTGGTAAGACAGATCCAGACCATGAAGCATCAAGCAACGGCACTTGTTTTGCAGGTTGAGGATGCCTTTGGCATTACGTTGGAAGATACACGCGTGCTTCGTGCTTGGGCCTTGATCCACAGTTGCTTTCTTTTGAACAGATTTCATGAACATCGAGCACTGAAAGCGACGCCCTACGAAATTGGTTTTGGGAAGAAGTACGAAGGAAGGTTGATGCCATTCGGTGAATTTTGCTTCGGTTTGAAGAAACCTTCAAAACAGAAAGGAGTGAGCACTTGGACAGGAGGAGTCTGGGTAGATAAAGACGCAGCTGATATGAATATCATTTTGACACCATCCGGACAGTTTGCATCGAGGTCAGTGAGAAGATGTGGTACGCCTTGGTCGTTTTAGCTTTGCAGTCAAGCCCATGGTTGAAACAGAAGGGTCCAAAGACACCTGGTGGGCTAGGTACGCCTCTTCCCGCTATTTTTGAGCATGTTGGACATCGTGAACCACGGGAAGGAGAAATGGCTCTAGACAGAGATGAAGAAGATGTGAGGGATGCTGCATCGTCAGGATATGCACCGACATCCCCTGGTGAACGTGCTCCTCTTACCCCTCCTTTGTTGAATCCAGAAGTGATGGCAGAGATGAACAAGTCTAGTTCTTTGATTGATGAGATCGACATGGATGTGAACACTAGTGCAGAACGATCTTCAGGTGAATTGGCTGGCGACGAATCTCCTCGGAGCAAAGCGCCCCGAGGTGAAGGTTTGGCTTCAAGTCCTTCGAGTGGGACACATGAACGCTTGTATGCACCGTATTTTGCTGGCCAGGTTGAGATGAAACCACATGATGATGAGGTTTGGGACGTAGAGGTTGAACAACAGTTGACAGAAGAATATTTTGATTTTGACCCTGAATTGTTGCAGGATGAGATTGATTTTGAGGGTGAACGACCGCCTGACTCCTGACATTTCCCCAGAAGAGTTACAGAAGTTGGACGACCAGGCCATGATTGACGAAGTTTCAAAGTTGAAGAACCTTGGAGTAGTAAAAGAGACGAAGGTAGGAGAAGTGAATTTCCAGGAGACGAAGTTCATTTATTTGAAAGAGGTTTATGATTGGAGACACAGGCAAAGAGCTTGGAGAAGACGTTGCAGGATAGTTGCAAGGGAGTTCAGAGCTGGAGCGCATTCTGATCAGGAGACATTTTCACCAACCACCGCGACTTCAGCAGTGAGGCTATTCTTTGTCTTGCATTTGAACTTTCATTGGAAACTCCTCAGCCTAGATATCAGCGATGCCGATTTGACAGTGGACCAGGTGAGGAATGCATCGTAGAACTGAGGCCTTGGATCAAATCGGTTTTGCAAGTTTCAGATGACACAGATTGGAAACTGAAGAAAGTATTACCCGGACAGCGGAATGGAGCTAAGAGATGGTTTTCTTCGTTTTCGCAGGTGTTGAGTGAGCTTGGATTCGAATCTAGCTTAGCGATGCCCTCGGTGTTTCGACATACAACAAAACAAGCAGCAATCAACGTGCATGTAGATGATATTTTAGTTGCTGTGAAAGATCCCCGAGATGGAGAGTGGCTTTTGCAAGCATTGAGAGCAAAGTACAAACTTCAGGTTGAGGGTCCGGTTCCTTTGGGCAGTGTAGGAGCTGGAGAAGAGATCGGATATTTGAAGAAGAAGTACAAGTTTACTCCTGAAGGAATTTTTGTAAAGCCCAATGAAAAGTACTTTGATGCATTGATCAAGCTATACAACGTAGAGCACAAACGACCCAAAGCGACACCTGACCATCAGCTACTGGGACAAGTAGATTGCAGCGAGAGCCTCGAGGACGTCGACCCAGAGCGAAGAAAGTCCTTTCGCAGTGGTTTAGGAACATTGATGTACATTGCTCAAGAGCGTATTGATTGCCAGTTTGCGATCAAGTCTTTGGCATCTTGGCTTTCGGCCCCAACGGTGAACGCAGAGCATTGTTTGATTCATCTGATTTTGTATTTGAAGGGAACAAGGAATCTCACTTTTCTCATGGGCTATGAAGCCTCAGGCAGTTCGATGACATGGAAACTGAACAATGTTTCAGGAGAAGGTGAACAAGAGAACAACGATAGAACACATTTGTTTGAACCGTTCACAGATTCAGATTGGGCTGGCAGCGCACATTCCCGCAAGAGCACCTCATCAGGTATACTTTGTTTGAACAGCGTTGTAGTGCGCAGTCACTCTAGGACCCAAAAGAGCATAGCACTTTCGTCTTGCGAAGCCGAGCTGTTGGCGTTGACAGGAGGATTGAGCGAAACACTTTTGGTGAAACAGATTGGGAGTTCTTGATGAAAGACGTTGCCAGGATTTGCATTCGAGCTGATTCATCTTCGGCAAGGCAATGGTTGCAACGTAGTGGAGTAGGACGGCTTAAGCATTTTCAGGTGAGATTGCTATGGACACAAAGACTCATACAGAATGGTTCTGTTGACATCAAACCCATCTCGACGAAACTCAATGTAGCAGATCTCAATGCGAAAAAGCTCAGTGTAAGCCGACGACATTTCCTTTTGTTTTTCATGCAAACAGTCATGCTGACTGAAGGTTTTGAGATCGAAACAAGAATCGGAGCCAACGAATTTTTCGAGCATTGCAATAGCACACTGATGATCCAAACAGTACAAAAAGCATTTGCACAGAGATTCAACCGGTACAATCTTGGTGCGTTGATGACCATCGGTTTAGGACTTCAAGGTTGCAATCAAGTTGAAAGAGAATTGAATGGAGTCATCTCTTTATTCTTCGTGGCATTTGTGTGGCATTCGTTTCATCGGTGATTTTTTTCTTGAGAAGCTGGAGAATGAACACAGGCGGGGAACCGAATCCCGCACAAGAGGACGACGAGCCAGGACCAATTGCAGAGAACTCGATTGAGCAGGATTTGAGACTTGGCTTGAAGTGGATCGAAAATGAGCTTCGAAAGAGGCACGAAGATTATGCAGTGCAGTTTGATTTACAAGAGAAGAGATGCATGGTGATAGCATTGGTAAGCATGGCAGTTCGCTACGAGAAGCAGGAGTCTCGGAAGGCCATTCGGCAGCTTCTGAATGATTTAGCGCTTGGAAAGTTGGAAACATTACGACGTTCAAGTGGGAGCGGTAGTGCATCTGATGGTTACAGTGGAGTTCCAGCCGTTACAGATGGTGCAGCTTGAGTGAAGCAAGTGATCCAGATCTTTGGATGACAGTTCACCATGGTACTACGACAAGTGAAGAAGAAGCAGAAGAAGAGAGGAGTGATATGAACCAGGCTTTGAATGTGGCAACAAGAGCTTCATCCAGTGAAGAGCCCAAACCTAGTGAAAGCAAAAGATTTGAAATTCCTGAACCAGAGCAAGAAGGGAATCTCGAAGTGATGCAGAACGAGAATGTGCGCAGGCGTGTGACTTACGCCCGAGAACTTAGGAAAGGCGATGTGAGTGCTGAACCGGAGAAGGAGTATGTGTGAATGCATGTCACGACAACTGGACACAACGAACGAATTCATTTGAACTACAGAATGATTGAACGCGTTTCATGGAAATCTACACTTCGAGCTTGTTCCGTGGTCACCTTGCAGATGGTGACGAAGTGTACCATAGATAGAAAAGCTCAGAACTTCGCCTTTTCAATTTCAGGCGGGGTGTCAGCTTTATTCGATGTCACTAGCATGTATGGAGAGAGCTGTTTGCTAGTTGAAAACTACTCACATGTCCGCAGCGCTTGAGTCCGAAAACAGGAGTGCAGTTAGTTGCTCGTTACCTAACATGTTCAACTGCGTTGAAAAATTGTGCTTTGTGAGTCCAGTGTATGCTGAGAAGGTTGTAGAAGAGTGCTTCGAGCTTGTCACGGTGAATATGTGCCAGGGTCCTGTTTTTCTTTGCCTGCATGCTGCTGTTGGTGACTTCATATTGCTGTATAATTCCGCTTTGAGCTCTCTTGCTCCTGCTTCTTTGTAGGAACTCGCCTGGGCTTGCGCAATTGTGCAGGCTTCGCTGTTTTGCTTCCCCTCGCTTGACCAACTTGCCCTCCCTCCCTCTTCCTTTCCCCACTTGAGGTTTCATTTCCATTGTTTTTGGTGGTTTTTCAAGAAGCTGCCTGTGAGAGTTTGCACATTTCCTTTATTCTGGATACTTTGGAAGAAGTTCTGACCTCCCAGCTTATCGGCGTACCACTGCCCAATTCTTCATATTCGTACCTGGCTCACTCTATTTGTAAGCTGCACGTATTTTTCTTCTTAGGGATGTTCTGGGCCTATTGGTTGCTAGGAAGATACTGCAGAAATACCTTCTATTGCGTGCAGGGGTGAGCAGGTTCAAAGTTTCTTCTTGCTTATGTTTCCCTAACACATCTAGAAACCAAGTCATTAGTATGAGCGGGGAGCTTCCTTGAAGAAGCGTGAGCTATCCTACGTCCTATATAGCTAGTAGCTTACTCTCTTAATTAAGTAGTCGCCTACTTCATTAAGCTAGGCGCTACTTAATTAAGTTGGAGCGGGCAAAAAAGAAGGAACCTGGCTTGAGCGGTGAGATGTGCAGGACTCAGCACCGCCTGGCTACAAGGGCATCAAGGTTGGGACTGCAAAACTGAAGGATTTGGAGAATGTATGGACAAAGGTTGGACCAAGATCAACGGCACACATGCACAGACACGCACAGTGTAGTGTAGGATCCTGAGAATGAAATAGGTGAACAACTCCTAAGTCCACACTGATACACACATGGTTTTGACTCATGGTGACACCGTTCACTGAAAAGAAACACCAGTCGGATATGCAATCAAAACGTAGGATCCAGGGATACGTGGCTCAGGTCAGGTGTCCTTGACCGCATTTTAGTCTGCGGCAGTGGACCACTTTTCAGTCTTCAGCGCGACGAGATGCTCGCAAACTCAGCAATGTTTGCTACAGCGCCCAGCAGTTCCAGTTTGTATGCTCTGTCATCAGCCCAGCTGCGTTCGCCAAAGGACGAGGAGTGCCTGCCCTGTGTGCCAGAAAAAACATGTGGACGGCCCAACAGACCTTCTCCAGCGTCGCCTGGGATGGCCGCAGAACCATACCGACTTGGTCAGTCTTAAAGCCATGAGTGAGACGGTCTAAGCAATACAAGAAGGTGGACAAGTCCAGAGACTTCCAATGTTCATTGAAGCGCCCTAGTGTCCCTGTTGGGGCATATACTGACCTGCGATCAGGTCCGACCCACAGCGGTATATACTCCAACCGAATGAACTTCCATGCCATGCCGCTAGTGGAGCTTCAATACGGGACGTTTTTTGGTGTTCTTTGGTGGGTACACACCCATGGTCCATGGTGAGAAAATCTCTTCTGAAGGTTGAGGTGAAGATGTTCACGTCCTGCAAGTTGCTACAATGTGCACTACCAGCAACGAAAGCTTTAGGTCCCCATGTTTCACTCGTGCGGTAACGCAAACAGGACCAAAGTTCGGATGCATGTGCCCCACGTACTCCAACCTCGCGATTTAGCCAGACTCTCGAACTTGATTACAGCCAGCCTACCTTGATTGGACCAGTTTGAACCTTAAACATTATATATACATTGTGTCCATCAGGGCGTGTGCACATGATGTGATCTTCTGTGCACTCTGGCTGTGACCAGGACCCAGACTCATACAAATATAGACGCAACCTCTTTTTTTTATTATCCAAATCCCAATGCAAAAGTCAGAAGAATCACCCCGGCATCTGTACCATTTGAGAGTGATTGGCATCCCTTGCTTGACCGATCTCTGCAGGTGTGGCTCGTGGGTCAAAGATTTTGCGCAATTTTTTCAAGGGACGCCTCGCAAACAAATCCCAGGAGCACTCAAGCAAAGGCTTGCCACCGTGCACAAATCCAGTTGGGAAAAACATGTTCACCCTCAAGCACCCATGTTTATATAAGTGGAATACCTTTACCACGCATTTAAACGAAGATTCAAGGCCTTTCATGGCACAGGAGGCAAGATGTTGCAGCAATGTGAGGAGGAATCAACACCGGGTGGGTTGCAAACCAGGAGAAGCACCAGATTCAAGATTAGCCAAGGATTTGTCAAACGTGAATCTGAACGTTCTAATCTGAGCCAGATTCAACACAGTCAGCTTCCCTGTGGTGGCAGAAATTAAAGAGCAGCACAGCCAAACCTATTCATTGGCGAAGGGCATTAGCCCGTGTGGCTACCAAAGGAGGCACTGTAGTCAAAGCCCATACACATAGCGCGTGCAAAGATGACAGCTTAATTGAAGAGTGATTAGGCATTCAGACTCAGCGTCTTTGTCTTCCTAAACTGGATCGACCCGTTTTCATTTCCAGGGCAAGCCAAGCTGGTATGATGAGTCCGAGGAGCAGCGACCCGTTCTCACTTAAAAATTCCTGGCAGATTTTGTAGCCTGGACACATTGTGTTGTACGCAATATTCATAGGTTGCAGACTGAGCAATTCAAGAGGATGTCGCGCAAGTTGTGCCCCTGGATGACAGAATCAGGCCTCCAAGAGAGAGGAGAGAGGGAGAGTGAGTAGAGAGGAGAGGGAAGGAGTGAGAGAGGAAGTAGCAACAACTCCAAACATTGATGGACAGATCAGAGCCACAGCTCTGGTTCTTTGGACTCCGATTCTCTGAAGACGAGCTGTTAGCAAGGAAGGCATCGGATGTCAAAGCCCCAAAGATGAAATGGGCGGCTTGGTGGCACATGAGCATACTCATACCGACTCCTCCTCAGTGTATTGCATGAAACCTGACAGATTCTTCGTGCTGAATGTTTTCAAGGCTGTGAAATCTGGCGGAGAAAGTGGTTGAGCGCCGGTGGCTCAATGCCCGCAGCGCTTTCACGATTCACTTTGTACATACTGATCACTGAAACGGAGAGACTGAACGTCAAGCTTCTTCCTGTAAGAACCTCCTAGTAAGAAGAATGGAAAGGAAGAGAAAGGAAGAATGGCCTCCAACCTAGTAGCGATGGCCTCCAACCTAAGAGCAAAGGCCTCCAACCTACTAGCGATGGCCTCCAACCTACTTCGTGGTCGATTGAACCGGTCTCATTTTGTGAGGCTCTTGTTACTCCGCGATGCAGGCCATTGATTTTGCCGAATGCTACGCAGAAGATCGGTTTCACCTAGACAGGGTTCGAAACAGCTTCAAGTGAAGTTGACATCTCTTAAAGGGCTTGCAAGCGTAGAACACACACACATATATATATATATATATATATATGTATATTGTCCAGTTCGAAGTAAGTGCCCGCATGGCCGGTAACCAGTGCAGATAGCCATCACAAAGTCCCTTGAGAGATGTCGGATGTCAAACGTGCTTGACGCTGGGACAAGGAGGGCATCGGCATCCTGCAATTTGCACTTGACCATGTGCATTGTTGTTTTGCAAGCCTGTGTTGGGGGTATTTTAGCAATCAGGATTGGCAGTGGATGTGAAGGTGTGGAATTGAAGAAGATGCATGATTGGCTGCTGTTGATGCTTGACTTTTAGACCTTAGATTTCCTGCACGGCCTCCTCGAAGAGACCTATGCGTGTCTCTGGTCGTTCTGGTTCAATGTATCGATAGTCCCATGATCAACGGTTTGGCATAACCGCCCTACCCTCAGAGTTGGCGGAGGTACATTGAACGACCCTGAACGGCAGCGCTTGCTCATTTGTACTGCAGTTAGATGTATATATATATAAGAAACATTAGTCTTTTTAGTCGAAGTAAGGAGTCCAGGGGTTGTATTGTGCTGGCTGAAAACGGTAGCTTTGCTGTAGCATTATTATTATCAGTGATGCACACCTTCTACTTTTTTTTGCGGTCTGTTTTGAGTGACATCAGGCCGTTTCGCTGGGCCATTATATGTATTTATATGTGTATATATATATACACATTAATCTGCATTTACATATTAATTTGCATTCACATATTTATCTGACTGGCACCACTATTCTTAAATCCATCTTGGGGACCTTTCCTCCGACTCTTTTGTTGCTGCACTGAATAAACAGGCACACTTCAGGCCACACGTTTGGCACCGAAGAATTCAACATCATGACAGCATCGAACCCTCCAGACCAATCCGACTTCACCCAACCATGTCTTGACTGAGGGCGTTTCACTCTAGTAGCATTGCTTTTTTTGCCAAGACATGCTGTTCTGTTTGTTCATAGGACTGGTGGAGGTATTGGCTATTGGTCAATGTTCCAAACAATCCTCGCAGATCACTCTAGTTCACGCAACGTTGTTGTTTTCTCTCGCCGCAGAGCTAGCATATATGTATGGCTTGTATGGTAGGGTACTGTACAGTATCAGTAGTACGGTACGTATGGTATCGTTGGTATGATCCTGTTCGGTTGTGTATCAAATGGTATGTTATGTAAGGAGTATGTTTGTACAGATGCTGATTGTTTGTTTCCCTGCTGTGATTGTTTTGACTAGCTCTCCTTTGGTTCAGCCCTCCTTTTCCCTACGCAGCTTGGTTTCAATTAGCAGCGGATACGGTTCTCAATGCCCTAGTAATGGCCTTTCAAGGCCAGGTACAGCAACAACAGAAATCATTGCAAGTTCTCAATTCTTCAGTGGCCAAGTGTGAACCCCTTGGGATACCAAATTTGACAAATCAGACTCACAATTTCCCAAGGGTCCAAGCGTCAAGAATAATCGGGTCTGGGAGTGCTGTTCAAGACTTTGCAGCTCCTGTCCACCTGGCCCAATGAGAGGTTTCAGAAATCGAGCCTTTGGTTTGCTCCAAGCCTTGTTGTTTTTATTTTGAAACTGGAGTTAAGTTCGAAAGCAAAGGAAGAGCCCATACAAATCAGATGAAGAGTACCTGATGGCAGATGTTGTGGAGGACCCCATCCCAAGTCTCTTCAACAATGAACAGTACATTTTCTTTTTTTAATAGACTAGATAGATAACTTACTGTAGGTAGAAACGCGCAAGCTGTCGTCACGCAGTCTCAGTCGATTCACTCCATTTGGCAACAGGCAGCATTACGGCCTACCAATATTCTAGTTTCACCAGTTTTATCAAGTGCAAGGCGCTGTTTCCCCAGATACCTGGAAGTTAGGCTCATCTCCGCTTCCCAGGCTGCTTCAACTAGCACTAGAAATGTCAATTCGTTGACACTGATCCCCTGGAAGTGTGAGGCATGCTGCTGGAGTAATTCTCCCAACCAAGAAGGCTTTAGGGTATTCAGAGTTTACCCGAAATGTCTTGACCTGGATTGAACTGGTTAAAGCCCACAAAGTGCCCTTGCCCAGCTCAATTCTTTGGTAGTGGCCTAAGCAGGATCCCTGCACAATATCCCACAGGCTACAATGACAACAGCAGAGACAAACTGAACGAAAGCATCAATGACATGCATGAGAGCATTGCCAGAATAGCAAGGGCGATAGCAACCGTAACTCACAATGACAAAGCGGATGGCAAACCGCGGAAATACTAGCAATGGCTGGCTGCAAGTCATGACAGCAGCAATAACGACCAACAATGACAAAAACAACAGCGGCGACTGCAAACATAGTTTACGTAACTACTCAACAACAAGCTGGCATGACAAGCGATTTGACAAGTAGTCACATGCGACATGAGAGCAACACGGACTCAAACACTATGGCATCATTCAATAATTCGGATGTAGGGGCCCTTTCAATATCATCAGTGGCAAAACAGTTTGGTGACGTGGGCTTGAAGTAATTCTATTGGTACATTCACTGAATGCAGAATTATCCAAGCAATCACCCAGAGATTTGTGCTTGATGCATAAGTGACGTTTCTCATCGGCTTGGCTTTTTTCATGCATATTGCACCTTGCGATTCTTCCTGATAGGTTTCTTCTGTCAGTTCAGCTTAGGTCCTGAAGCCGCTGTGCACAGCCCAGCATGGCGGAGGATTTGAACTTAACAGTCAGGATCTATTTTTTGTCCAACTGTGGCATGTCGCGGCAGGAGGATGCGGAGGTCACAGAGGTTGCAGAGGTTGCTGAGGTCGAGGTTGAGAAGCCGACCGAAGTCGTGGAGGCTCCAGACAAAGACTTGCAGATGTGTTGTGCCTGTGGTGCCGCAAGATGTCACAACAGTCATTTCAGGTTCTGGTGGTTCATTCTTGTCCTTTTGATTTTTCCAGGATGTTGACGCTCCAAAGGAGGAGCCCAAGCCAAAGCGTCAAAGGCGAAATCGATGGGGTCAGGACCACACCTTGCTGTTTGTTGGTTTTGTTTTTTTGTTTGTTTGTTTGAGCTGTGCCTTGGCCTGCCACGTGCGCCAAGATGCAAACACATTGACGGCTGAGGGCCCAACCTGTTAAAGCTTAGACGCACCTGCAGGAGCCTGAAGCATTGCCTGTCCCAAGTGCAGATGACCTTGCACTTGCACCTTTGGTAGGTCAGGAACGCTTTCTCATGAAACCTTAAGCTGTTGGATCAGCCAAGTTGGTCCTACCTCCGTTTTTGCCAGGCGTGGATACCTCTGCTCTGGGCCTGCTGCCTGTGCAACCTGGACTGCCATTCTGGCACAAGATTTCGAGTCCACTGAACAATCTTCATGAGAAATGATAAATGAATCAAGTTTGTGAAGTGAATCAACTTGGTTGATTCCGCGCATGCCAGGGGACCACCCGGTGCTGCTGGCGCTTCTTTGGACAGCATGGGCAAACACACACAACTCATTTGACAGATTAGTTGAAGGAAAAGGTTTGGAAGAAACGTGCTGCCTAGACTCGTAGAAGTATCATTTAGATCACACACCAATCAGTTGCCTTTGCTGTCATTAGCATGCGGCCATGTTCAACAAAACTTGATGCTTTGTGGTGTTGAGTTTCCTGCCTGCTCGTGAGGACTTGTCAGCTGCTGCATCTGCGGCAAGAGAAGCTCTAGAAAAGGCAGAGACTAGACAACGTGCAACTCATCAGTGTGGGCTCCAATCACTGAGGGCTGAGCGGTTGGCTTATTAGCAGCATTGCATAGGGATCTTTTTAAGATCCATTGTAATAACCAACAGTTGACATTTTGCAAGGGTTAAAAAGGGTAGCTGGGAAAGGCTTTGCTTGGCTGTAAAATCTCGGATACAACTTGATACAACAAGGCATTTAAGAGGTCGGGGTATGTTGTGTGAAAAGGGATGCTGAACGGACACAGGTGGAGGAACTCATGTAATGTCACATGCCTCTGTATGCTTGCTGCCAGATTTGGATTGAAACGACACCGAATCGACTTCCATGGGTGTTTGGATTTTGAATTGTGTAAGACGGGCTTCTCGTAAGATGATGCAAGCAGAGTGCACGAAAATAGTACAAAAGAAATGGCCACCAGCCTGTTTTATCAAATCCATATAATTTTTGCAGTTAAGTTAAGTTTCCCAAAAGATCTGTCTCTCTCTCTCTCTATATACAGTATATATATATATAGGAACCAAATGATTAGCACGAGCGCTTCTTCAAGGAAGCCCCGCCCTCAGCCGGGGAGCTTTCTTGAAGAAGCGTCAGCTATCCTGCGTCCTACCTTAAGCACTAGCTACCTCTTCCTCTTAGCGGCCTTCTCCCCCCTATCCTTAAAAAAAGGTTTTGGAGGGAAGTCCAATCACCTCCAACCATTGCCATGTAGAAATTCTGCCAGGCCAAGAGAGCAGCAATGTTCCAGCGGCAGATTCAAGAACAGATGGCCAAAATCAAAGGTCAAGGTGCATTATTTTGTTTGGCTGACAGTATCAAATTGCTTCAAAACACTATATAGTGTGTTTGAGGTTGAGCTCTGATGACTTTTTTGTGCGTTTGCACAGATAATTCTCTAGATGAAATTCTCGCCGCTGCTTTTGAGAACATCGTTTCCAGAGTGAAATCAGCATGCCAGTGAACGTGGTGGACATGTGTGCATTTTGTTGAGAGAGTGTGTGAAGGTCTTAGTGGAGGCTTCATGACTGGGGAAGCGCCAAAGGCAAGACACATTGCTGTGCTGTGTTAGGACATTTGGAGATGTGCAGAAAGACTGGTTTTGAGTAGTGCATAGTTTGATGAAACTTTGTGTCGATGAGTCATGTCCAGAAGAGCCAATGGAAGAGGATTCAAACACAAACTGAAGTGGATCCGCACTGGTTGCGGTTGGAGGATCCTCTTAGCTGTTGCACTTGATTAGACCTTTCCAAGGATGAGTTCACAAGAAACGGTTTTGGTCGCTGGCGCTGTGTCAGCATTCTTCCCCAGGCTCGAAAGCTCATCCTCGATGAGTTTGGTCGCGAGCTGGACGAAGATGGGCAAGTGGTCCCGATGAAGCCACAGGTGCTGTGTCGATGTTTCATGCGAATGATTTGGTGCTATTCAGAAAGGAAGAAACAGGTTCAAAGGGAACAGGTAAAAAGACATGTTTTCGTTTTTATTTAGAAAAGACAGGAACATCAGAAACAGTATGTGTATGTCTAACATGTTGATTTCATTCGTGTCGCACCTGTCACATTCACAGGTGGTGAGCACCTTGAAAGTCAATATCAATCGAGAGAAAGAGGCGAGACTAAAGAAGATCCTGGGCCTCAAAAAGGACTGGGTAAGCTTCATCAGCTTCATCAATGGTTCCAAGATAATTAGCAAGATAGAGTCAAAAATCAAGCCAACATGAAGATAGAGTCAAAGATAGAGCATTGAATGATGAAAGGCATTGAATGAGAGAGCCGGGCTCAACTTTACAACTGAAGGACGGCGTGGGCGAGAGCTCGTTCTTTGATCCAACATTGAAAGTCAAGGAGAAGTGCACAGTGAGGAATCCTTTCAACCTGTGACTTACAGTTTCGAGTATTATTGCATACTTGTGACCTTTTTGTGCACCAATTCTTATGGACTCGCTCGTTGCCAGGAGAGATCGGAGCGAATGAAGCGCCGAAGTTTCAGGCGGAGACTGATGGTTTGATGATCTTCGCGAGCCTCAGTGTTATTCTGCGATTCTTCTGCACTTATTCTTCCTTGACCTGACAGGTTTATTGAGGAAGGTGAGCTGGTCAAGAAGGAGGCCAAGATGATTAAAAAGGTTCAGGAGAAGGTTGGTGCCTCAGTGCCGGTCAGTGCCTGTCAGTTTTTCAGTCCATAGTGTTCTCTCTTTGATTCGTTGGCTTCAGGCCTTGGGAATCGATAAAAAAGATGAAAAGAAAAAGAAGGAAGAGGAGCAAAAGAAGAAGGACGAAAAGAAACAAGAGGAAGAGGCACGACAATGTTCTTAATTTCAATTAGAGTGCTGTGTTGGCAGAGATAACAAGTTGATGATGCTTTTCACATGTAATGAAGGAGAAAGAGCAGCCAGTGAAGAAGATCGAGCCAAAAGTTCTGAGGACGCACTGGATGGAATAAGAAATCTGATCTTGCTTAGCCTGCTTAGCTGCATTTGCCCTGGATTGCCGGATTCAGAGATGGAACGATTGACAATCCGTCATTGTACATTGCATAGATTCCTGGGATAGGATCAAAATCAAACTGTCCACATTGCAGTGCTTTGTGCGCGCCTGCTATCCCTGCCATTGTAACTCTTTTTGCCTTCACTCTTTGCGCCGCTTGACCCTCAGAAGACAACGGGGAGCAGAAAAAGAATTCACGTAACGTTTGACCAAATGTCAAATCTTCTAAATGTTTTTTTTAACTTACAGGGCAGCATACAGACGCAGCAAGTGGTGTATGAATCCATGCCGGGCCATACCTGTAATTATTGTGTGATTTGCCAAGTCGGTGTCCAAGCAGGAGAGAGCCAATTCCGGAGGTGGAATGGTGGATGCCTTAAAAGCCCAGAGACAAGCAACAGTAAACCAGAGAGGACTTCTTAGAAGTGATACTTGTGGCAAGGTGGGACATCCCTTTCTTGAAAGAGGATCAATATGGGCAAAAGAAGGCATATACAGAGGTGCAGCTGTGAACGGTCGCACATTATTCCTCTCTTTATTTACCCCTTGCAGCTTGCACACCCTGGCAAGGTGAACGTGGAAAAGATCACACCCTACGTAGAGCATCCGATTCCCATCAAGATTACGACAGAAAAGGAGGCAGGACACAAGGCTTTTTAGTGTAGCTGATGCATTCTGAAGCAAGCACTTGTTAGGCCCCCGAAGCTGCCATGATGCACCTTACTCCCAAGGAGAGTTGTTGATTTAGTTTTCAAGCAGAGCTGCAAGCAAAGCTGTGAGCAGTGAGCAGAGCTGCAAGACAATGGGGTTTAATCTTTTTGCGAAGGTTCCTGCGTGGTTGAGTCATTGAACGCTTCCAAAGTGGCCATGCTTATGCAAAGTTGACAGCTTTTTGCTGCACACTGCTGCTTTGAGATCGTTTGCTTTCTAGAGAGCCCGTAGATTAGTGAGTATAGTAGATATACTGAGTCACTTGGCCACTCACATTGCATGGAGCTTTGGTCAAAGGCAGTGCCAAGGCACCATGTCAAGCCAGCTGCTCGATGTACAACAAAGGGTGCGTCCTTTGCGCCAACTGGCGGCTTCCCATGCTCAGTGGGCTTAGCAAGTTTTGCAGCTTTGGGGAAGTCATTGCGACCTAGAACTGCTCGGCACTACAAAGGTGATGCCGGCGACACCTCAGGGGTGTCTGAAGTGACAAGAAATTCTCAAGAAGTGGCAACAGCTTTCAGGCATGGGATGCCATCAACTGCAGGATTGATTGTCATCACCTGCACCCTTCTTGTGCTACTTTTGGGGATGATTACTTCAATGGAGTCTGGAAACATGTTGATTGAAATCGACCACAATTTGCATTCCTATCTCTTGAGTTCACTCAGACTTGATCCTGCACTCTTCAAGGATGTCTCCAACAAGCTTGATGATACCGCACAATTCTTGTGCTGGCTGACAGCTTTGGCAAGCTTGGCAAGCTCAACTGAAGATGGAGCACTGTTGCTTCTTGCTGTTCCTGGTGGTCTTCAATTTGTGCGCTTCTGTCAAGGGGTCTTGAAAGCAGGATTTCATCGTGCCAGACCTTCTAACATGGTTTCGGACTTTTCATACCCATCGGCACATACAGCACGCTTCACTTTTTGTGCTGCAACGATTCTGCTTTTGCTTCTGCCACGATTGAAGAATCATCATAAGAAGTCAGTTTCGCTTGACCATTGGCTTGCTGTGGCGTTCGGAGCTTGGATTCTAATGGGATCCTGTCGCATGCTTGCTGATGCACATTGGTTTAGTGACACCTTGGGCGGAGCAGCCCTTGGTGTAGACGTGGCAGCGTTTGTAGAGCTTTGTTTACTTTTTCTACAGGCTTTATCCTTGCAGGAAAAGTGCTCGGTTGGGGATGGGTGTGAGGAAATGCACCAGAAACCCAGAATCCATGCAATCTATTTGTGTCAATTGATCATTACAAACGGGCTCCTGCTATGAGGGATCAACATGTTGCTGGGAAGGTCGAATGTTGACTCGCATTGCTTTTTCTCTGCCACTCTTTCGCCGGAGGAGCGCAAGAAGTTGAGGAGACTGAAGCGTTTGATACTCAGGATATTTTTCATTGCTTGGGATTCTGAGTGACGCACATTTGCCTTGAACAGATTTGCAATGACTTCAAGATCAAACTGTCTGTATTTTGTTCGGCAATTTCATGGAGTGCGGTGCTTTGGATGCTTTCCTTTTGCACCAGTCCCAAGGCCAGGAGCGAACGCAGGAGATCCGAGACAAGATTAAGATGGGTATCTTGCAGCCGCCGCCTCCCAAGGCTCAGAGGGTACTGGGCGATGAACATATTCATCTCAAGAGATTTTTCTTGAAACCAATTAAATATATAATCGGGTCTTGCAGGCTCTATCATTTACACCTGTGAGTGTATTGATCTTGACTCGACATGTTTTCTGCGGCAGGTGAAGATGGCAAACTTGATGCGTGTGCTTGGTGATGAGGCATGCCATGCTTCGCACCGTAGCGAAGTGGAATTTTGAATTATGCCAATGTTGTCATCGATGGTTAGAAGTGGAATATCATAGCAACCAAACCCAATAGCAAAACATTGCAATGGGATGCGGTTATATATATATATATATTATAACCCTCTCAAAGAACAACCAATACTGCACACTGTCTCATGGCACTATCAACACCGCCTATGGCCTATGAAAACACAACAAGGACATGGACGGGCTCCATTTGTGATGTCCATTTGTGCGATAAATGATAAATGTGAGTCCATCCAAGCAGCAAAGGGCATTCTCAGCCAATGAAACCGGCCGATAAAGCAAGATCACAGGACCGATGTAAGGCACAGGCTCCATGAACATCTACCCACACACCCGCTATGTACAAGTGGAATATCCTTTTGCAAGGACCACTGTGCCATCAACAAGACAGCAACTGAGTCAACATACTGTGACTGTGACATTGAGACACAACCCTCACGGGCGCAACCCATGGGAAGAGCTTGACATGGCCAGCAAAAGCCATATGCATACAAGTTTGGATTTCACAAGACTGACTCACAAGGCATCACAGATTAGGAACGTGACCACCAAGAAAGACACACACTCGTGAAATGCATACTGAACTGATCGCGCCCCAAGCCCTGAAGAAACCATAGGGGAAAAGGGCCTGAGTAAAGCAGGTAGTATGTGAGGCGGTTGGAGGCCATCGCATCTAGGTTGGAGGCCATCGCATCTAGGTGGGAGGCCCTCGTAATGGGTTGTAGGCCATCGCTTGTAGGTTGGTTGCATGCAAAAAACGCCAAGAGAGAAGTCTTGTTCTAGTTATGCACGGGACCAAGGAGGACATAAGTGGTAATCATTTTCTCGCAGGTACGTGCAATCTGTGTCCAGATTGCATATCACAGCAAACTTGAAGTGTCTTCGTTGAGCGGTGACTTCCAGAATGCCCACCCCTCCCCTGCTTGGAAAACCGAAAGGCTCCCTGTGACTCCAAGGGTTTTGCACACACACACACAGGATAAAGCACGTACGTTCTGAATGCCACTTGCCCCAGCGCCTAGGTGCAAAAAATCCAGGGTAAAACAAGTGCAAAGGAGTCCTGACAATCTTCAAGGTCCAGAGCTCAAAGTTCTAAAAGTCCAAAAGATTCCAAACGGAAGTTCCAAACATCGAGCGGTCGCCGAGAGACGAGTGCCTGGACCACCGTTGACTGCAGATATCAGAGCTGTTGCAATGGCCAGCAGCTTGTTCTAGTTACCAAGGGGCCCACTGCGAAGTACAGTCATCACGAGCAGGGGCTCAGTTGGACGTCTCCAACTGTATCACAGGTATATAACTGATCAGTGCCTTTGTTAGCACCGTTTTCATCAGCACCTGCAAATTTAAAAGCCAAAAGGCTCCCTACGGTTCCAAAGGCGCTACACACACACACCGCTGGCCCCACAAGGATGTGGCAAGCACATGACACCAGCACCAGCGACAGCAGAATCAAACCTGCAATTGCATGAGATGCCGGAATCACCAATCATTACTGCTACATAGTAAGCCGGCGATGGTGCATGCAACATGGAACTGTCTTTCCAGAAAGAGCACATGTTTTGCCAGGACGCCACCAAGGCTACCATCCAAAAGGCTACCATCCAAAAGGCTACCATCCAAGAAAACCAAAATATACTGTAGATATGGACCGGAAACAAAAAAATGGTCACAAGAGGACTTCCACGTGACAAAGGTAACCGGGTTCTTATACAATGTCTTAGAGAATTCTATAATATACAGAGTGTACGACTGTACGTTTGATTGAATCAGAGCCAAAAACCAGTAAAGGATTGAAGGGTGACAACTGGTTTGTTCATGTTGGTTCCTTGTACACATCTCTTTTTGATGCTTTGCACGAAGTGCAAAGGACAGCCCTTCCTTCACAGGCCATTGCCGACCCCTCCACAGTTGAGCGGAAAGTCAGGCCGTTTAAGATCACAACAATGACGTTCGACAAAGATGGGTGGTGGTTGTCAGCAACTGCCTCGTCCCAACTGACATGTACGTGCTTTTGGTGTCAGAATGAACTTGCAAGACATCAGGACAGGTGGACAGACTTCACTGCGGCGTGTAGGAAGAGGTTGCACTGTCCGGACACAGTACAATTTTTTTACTTTGGTTCTGTGCTCCATGTAAACACGTCTTCTCCAAGTGCTTGAGGCAGCAGGTGGAGCAGCGACGAAAGGAGCATGAGCAGAGAAATGAGGCGCAAGACAAGTGTGGAGCAGATTCTATTCGGGATCAATCTGGAACAACCTCTTAAATAGGTTTAGATACGGACTGTGTCCCAATGAGGGCTCAAGGGATGTGCAACCCAGCATGTGCAGAATGTGCCCGGCTGTACCAGCCTTCTGCCAAGTCCAGAGAGAGAAGTCTACTATTACTTATGGAGATCGGCTTCCTTTTGATATGATAAGAAACCTTGACGAGATTGTAATTGTAATATGAGTATACAATTTTTTTTAGGCAAATGTCCTCCCTGAGCTTCAGCTACTCCATCATGCACATGCTTGGTTAAAAGGCAAGAAGGTTGCCAGCGGAAGAGCGAAAACAAAAGAAGAAGCAGAAGTGGTGCCACGGCTGGCTGAACAAACATTGTAGTACTCACGTAGAGGAAAGTGCTTTAGCCTCTCGCCACCTGCCCAAACTCAGGATGGGAGGAGCAGAGCCAACAACGCAGGCATCGTGCGTACCTACATTTGGAGTTTGCGAAAATATGTGTCGGTCGAAGTTGCAAGTTGTTCTTGACATATGTTTTTGGTGCACAGGTGCTAGTTTTCAAGATCAAGGACTTGGCAAATAAGAAGTTCATTCCTCAACACAGGGCAGGGCTTTGGGGTTACTGTTCAACCAGCTCTTGACTGTAAGGCACTTGTTCAAGATCGACATGAATGCTCAGAGCATTTGGCCTGTTTGATCGTCGCTTGCTATTGTTGTCAGCTCTTTCTGAACCATGCGTCATAGGCCTTTGGTAAGGTTCATAGCTGGGAGTTGGAAAAACCGCCTACCTCCACAAGCAACAAAGGTCTTGAGAATAGGATGAGAACAAGGATCAGTCCCTGCAGCCAGAGGAGCTTGCCTGATATGAGTTTTTCTTCCAATCTTTGCCACATAAGACATGAGGAATGGGAAGCCCATTATTAAAGAGTCCAAGAGGCTGTGGCAGTGCATTTTTCTATTCTAGCACTCTTGATGTTGCGTTTGATCATCTGACATGTAAAGTGTCACAATATTCCTTAAACTTATCTATCTATCTATCTATCTGGAACAAGTTCGATGATTGGTCTTTTGAAGCATATTCTTCCTTTCCTTCCTTCATAGCGATCTCTCTCCATCTAAAAATTGGATATTTACGCAAAACAAGCTACTCAACTCCAACACAACATGTACAGGTTTCTGATCGTGAGGCCTTCGTGGTTCAAAACAGCACGCATGGTAGCGGAGCTGTGAAGGCTGGTGGTCACCGGCTGGAGCTCCAGGAAGTGTTTGAACCCTTGGGTAAGCGCGCCCGCGCCGAGCAGACATAGAACTGGTGTTGCACGTTGCTCGCAATCTGCGCCTGTGTCTACCAGAAGCTGATCCTCGAGCGGCTGAGCTTTGGTTGGAGGTGAGAAGCTGCCAGGCCGACAGGTCCTGTTCGAGGAGGTTGAGACCGAGGAGAAGGAGAAGATGGACCAATCGGACATGCCAGTTTTGGCACAAGCTGTCATAGCTGCTGCGAATGCAGCGGCCCAGGCGGCTCAGGCAGCGGCTTTGAGTGGAGGAGCAGCTGGTCCAGGTGCAGAAGGAGCAGGAGGAAGCCAAGGGGTGTTGAAGCGTGATCTAGCAAAGTTGATCCCACGACCTGGTGCCTTTAATCCCACTGACAGGGAACAAGAGGTTTTGCAGTGGCGAGATTGGTACTGGACAGTCAAACAATATCTGGTTGTTGTTGATGCAGCATTCCAAGACGAGTTGGAGAAGCTGGAAGCCAACCTGACAACAGAGATAGACTGGGAGTTGCTAGATGAGGGTGAACAACAGAGAAGTCGATTTTTGTACAGCTTGTTGGGGAGTTTGGTACAAGGACGACTGACAGGTGTCATCAAGAATGTTGAGAAGTTCAATGGCATGGAAGCACTTCGACAACTGTTGATGAACTGTCAACCTCAGGCGAGAAACAGGACGATGAACCTCCTGCAAGGGATAATGTCGTACCCGAGCTTCAACATGAAGAGTTCCTTGCTGCCTCAAATCCTCAAGCTGGAGGAACACTATGTTCAGTATGAGCGCCTTGGAGGGAAGTTATCACCTGACATGAGGTCGGCGGTGTTGCTCAGAGCGGTTTCGGGTCAGATGAAGACTCATTTGAATCTGACTTTGAATGAGGGCAGTTCATACAACAAGATCAGGGAAGCCATTATTGCCTTCGACACGGCCACCACCAAGTGGAATGAGTCGGGAGCCCTTACTTTTTCAGGAATGAGCCCAATGACAAGTGCAGCAGATCCCAGCGGTCCAATGCCCATGGAGATTGACCGCATCAAGGGTGACGGCAAGAAAGGAAAAGGGAAGACCAAAGATGGTAAAGGCAAGTCAAAGGGCAAAGAAGACCGACAGAAGGGAAAAGGGAAAGGTGGCAAACCAAGTGGAAAAGAAGGCAAAGGTAAAGGAGGTGGCAAAGAGAGCAAAGGTGGCAAAGGCAAAGCCACCAATGAAGTGTGTTGGACCTGTGGCAAACCCGGACACATGTCACGTGACTGTTGGAGGATCAGGCAAGTCGAAGCGCCAGCAGTCCAGAGCATCGCAGGTTCTCACACCACCTCGCCCTCTACTACGTTGACAACGAGCACATCGAGTGGAGGAGGCGGAGACACCAACGTGGGTGCAAAGAATATCAGGCGTGTTTCACAGCCAGTGATCTTCGACTTGAGAGAAGGGAGTGAAGCTGGTTCAATTCGAGTTGTGAGCCAAGTTGAATTTTTCAACATTGCCTCAGAGGATGAAGAGGAGGATGGTTGCTACCAAGTCAACACCATTGCTGAGACTGAGAATGAAGAGGAGGTCGACGAGGCCCAGGACCGGAGAAGAGCAACAGACCTTGAAGGTGATTGTTGACTCAGGGGCGGATGCTTCAATCTTCCCAGGACGGCTCATGGGAATGACGAGAAGTGATCAGGTGTTGGGACAGGCTCTTCACCTACAAGACGCCCAAGGAAAGAAGATCCAGAGTTATGGCAACAAAGATGTGGACATCTTGATGATGACATCTGAGGGCCAATCTGTGGTCTTGAAGGAGAGAGTAACCTTCAGCGACATGGTGAGCCAGCCCATCTTGTCTTTTGGACGCTTGATGAGAAGCGGGTGGTCCATTGATGGCCAAAGACAATGTCTGAGAAATGGCAGCCTTGAAGTGCCTTTAGCGTTTCAGAATCAAAGTCTAGTGGTTGATGCCTCCATCAGGGTGATCACAGAACCCCTGGTGATTCGCACGCTGGCAGTCAGGCTGAATGAGGAGCTGACAAACATGGCTGGAAGCGGCTATGGTTGGAAGAAGAAAGATGAGTTTTGGGTTGGACTTCACTTGAGCGCAAGGTTTCAAAGCCCACAGTTCATCCCGGGCTTTCGAGATCAAGGAGAAGGGATGTGTCGAACTACCCTGGTTGAGAAGCAGGGCAGTTGGGAGTTGGTCGAGATGGCCGAACCTCTAGACGGCCTGGAGGAGCAAGAAGAGGAAGTGGAAGAACTTCGAGATGTGGGTCTTAGCAAGGTGATGACATTTGTGGCTCAGGAAGGAACAGTTTGAGAGGTGTTCGGTTTTGAGATTGATGATGCAGTCCAACTTGGTCCTAGGCCAGCAGTTGAAGAGCTCGCCATTCCACAAGCTTGAGATGAGGAGATGGAAGAATTCGATGGTGCAGACATTCCAGGTGGAGATGACGAGCCCAATCCTGGCCGTGACCTAGAAGAGCAGATGGTGCGCTATGAGATTGGTGTTGCACTTCCAGAGGAGATTCGAGTGAATGAAGTCCCACTCACAGTGGACAGCCCTTTGAGGAATTTGAGAGCTGCCTGCGCTTTCTACAGGATTGGGCAGAGCGGAGGAAAGAGGAAGTGCTTTAGTCGACTGGTGGCACATCAAGGAGCGCTGGAGTTGATGATGGCCAAGGACTTGGCTGCCAGAGGCCAAGCAATGGGTCAGAGGATTCCTGTGGAGCAGGTGACAGCAAAAGTCCCTACAGAGGCAGAGCGAAAAGCCCATGAACTCACTCATGTCCCTTACGCTCCACGGTGTCCGGCCTGCATTAGGCACCGAGCTCGTCCTGACCAGCGCAGAAGGACGGGAAAGTCCCATGACCAAGGATGCCCCGCAATCTCCTTCGACTTTTGCAAGGTGAAAGCCAAAGGTTCCGGTGCGATTGGAGCAGAGGAAGAGGATGCTGCTCAGGAGGGTGTCCAAGATGACGAGAGTGGAGCACTGCTGATGGTTGCGGTATGCTCAGAAACAGGGTCGCTGCTAGGGTTGCCCTTGAAAACAAAGAACCAGATGAACCTCATCACCCACGAGCTGCTTGCATTCACTCAGATCCTAGGACATGAAGCTGTGCAGTATTACTGCGACAATGAACCTACAGCAAGGCAGATTGTTCGCCTCTTGGTGTCTTCAAGGACAGCTATGGGGCTGAAGACTACAATGGGGACAACAAAGCTCTATGACTCAGCTGGCAATTCTTTGGCTGAGAATGCAGTTCAGAGGGTGAGGGGTCTTGCAGCTTCGATGATGGAGAGTCTGGCGGAGAAGATCGGTTTGCGATTCCAGCGCCAACATCCATTATGGTCTTGGGCGTGCCGCCATGCTGCATGGACCCTGAACCGCTATCAGGTGCTGAGAGGAACAACGAGCTTTGAGTTGACTCATGGCAAGGCCTACGATGGCAAAATGTGTCCTTTTGGAGAGGTGGTTTTCGCCTACACTAAGCAAAAGCAGGGCTTCAAAGCAGATCCAAAGTGGAAGGTGGGCATTTGCTTGGGGAAGACGGAGGTGCAAGACGCATGGGTCATTGGAGATGGAAACAGGGTCTTCCTCAGCAAGTCCATTCGAAGGGTTGCAGATGCCAGTACACGGTACATAGCTTGCTACCAGGGCTTCACGGCATACTCGTGGGAGTACCAGCAGAATTTTGGTGGGAGGATCGTCCCATCAAAGAGAGTTGCAACTATGGTTGGAGGACCATTGCTGGGATTGCCAACCCCTGGAGCAGGAGGAGAAGCTCTGCAGGACGAGGATGCCAAGGAGGTCATAGCTTTCTCGAAGTCCTATGCGGGAAAGCTAGAGGAGGCAAAGGACTTGGTAGAAGTGGCTGAGAAAGAGAAGGTTCAAGCCCAGGAGATGAGTGAAGAACAGAAGATCGTGGAGAACAAGAAGCTGGACTATGTGGAGGAGAGTGTCAGTCTGCCACCAACCAGAGTCAAGGATCCGAACTTGGTTGATGACATGAACAACCAAGCTGGACCTTCGATGCCTGGCGCTACACCGAGAAGCCCAGCACAGAAGAGTAGCCTCAGCGCGACAGGTGATGGAGGAGATGCGAAGAGGTTGAAGTTCACTACTTTCAAGCTTGTGCGTGAGAGTGAAGGAGAGAGCTCAGAGACAAAGAGACAGAAGGTTGGAGAAGACGCAGGTCGAAAGAAGGGTACAAGCAACAGAAGTAGGAGCGGAGGTGTACTATCACATGGACCAGTTCTTTGGTGAGGAGGAGTTCCTGTCTTGGGATGGAGAAGAGGAGGAGACTTCATCGACGATGATTCCCAAACAGTTGTGGTCAGAAGCTCCCTTGGACAGGATCCCAGGAGACCCACCAGCTTGGATCGATGACCTTGCAGATGAGGTGGAAGAGCAGAGACTCTTGAGGATGGGA